GATAGATAGATAGATAGATAGATAGACAGATAGATAGATAGATAGATAGATAGATAGACAGATAGATAGATAGATAGATAGATAGATAGACAGATAGATAGATAGATAGATTGACAGATCCCCACTCTTTCTTGTGTTGAAGGAAGGGCAACATCAACATTACTTTACTATTTCTTGGTTTAGAAAACCGGACGAGATCACAGCCACCGATGTATATTATGGTGTAGTGGTTAGGCTCTTTGCCACCGCACGCAGAAGACCTGAGTTGGATTCCCATGTGGAGAAAATATTTATCTTGTATCTCGTTTTTTTTTCTGCTGCTACATTGTTATATCCTTCTCAGCGTGCGTCGAAGCCTGCCTCGTAAATGATCTATCGTGTGTTGATGCGGACGTAAAGACACCTTTCGAAGCGAGAAAAAAGAGTATGATGATATGCAAGTCACACTATACGCGGAGAGTGAACAATAAATAGAAGTACTCATATCGCTACCCCAGAATTACAAAGTTCTACCTGCTCAGGGCCTAGTTGTAAGAATTTTGACGTTAAAACAAATTAGTTTCACAACATGGCAATCTTTTGCAAATGCAGCTATTTGAATATCTTGATAGAGACTCCGAATGATCTTACGATCTTGACAGAGCAGGTAGAACATGTATTGGTTTCTGACCTTAGAGCCGAAATAACTCAAAGTGGCCAAAAATGTCAGATAGAACCTCGGTTGTGTTCAGGACCCACTCTCGAAACCACCCATTAACTAATATTGAGAATGTCTTTTCTGGTCAATCGACAATGCTTGAAAACGCATTCTTTCTTCTTTTTTTTTCCCCGTTACATCCCTTCAACGCAAGGGGGGTGGGGGTGGTGGCTTAAATTAGGGGTCATAACTTGCTTTTTCAAACAGATAACTACTTCTGTTTTCATTAGTTGAATCTTACAAAGACAAGCAACAGCATACTATGCATCATTAAATATTATGCAAATTCTTGTTCCTAATTTTTCTTTTTTAATTCGTGACATTGCCTTTTCTCCTCTGTCGATTGGACAAAATTATTATGTTCCCGGGAGTGTCCTTAAAGAATGCAGTTGAATAGTCCTGATTATTTGAAAGTGCTTCATTTTTCCAAAGATGGAGTTATGGAGTTTATCAACCCCCCCCCCCCCTGCATCCCCTCCATCTTTGCCCTCCGTGTCCATAACTAGAGTTGAGATTTGATTGAATCAGAAGTGCCCCGATCTTTGTTAATTATTATGTTCGATTTACACCTTCATGAACATACTTTAGACAACAAGTCGCAACTTCAGAATTACAAAGTTACATCTGTGCTCATTACTTAGTTTTAAGATATTTGACCTCAGATTTATTCAGTTTCACAAAGCCAAACTTTTTCCAATGCAATTCTTTGATTATCTTAATAACGACTCCGAATATTCTGACGATTTTGATAGAGCAGATAGACTATTTATTTGCTTTCTGGCCCCGGGGTCGAAGTAACTTAAAACGGCCAAAAATGTCAGATAGAACTTTTGTAATTCGAAGGTAGCGAAGTGCCGGACTCTAGGCCTGCTGGCCGCTCCCGGTATGACGAACAATCAGGTCAGGCCTGAGAGAAAATTCAAAATGTGAGACATCGTGGTGAAATCAGGCACTCGTCAAATTAATGAAGTGTAAGAAACAGGCTTTTTTTCAGCGGGGCAGGAAATTTTTATTGAATTTTTGTTGTTTGACTGAACACTTTACAATTAAAAACATATTATTTCTTCGTGGATTTTACAGGAAAACGTTAATTCAAGGCATATAAATATAATAATTTTTTAAGGACTCTTAAACAATGGAAATCACCAAACTTCAAAGCCAGTTTTACCTCTGAAACTGGCGACCCCACCTCCTTCAATCGTAAATATCTCTACTTCTATCAAAAATGGGTGGGCATTCCTTTTATAAAAATCAAGACAAATGAACAAAGTTTAAGATGACATTAACTACAACTCCATGTGCCCGAAAAGTGACGAGCGCCTGGTTCCACCGCGTCATGACACAAATTGCGGTAGACCGCATTTAGAATCTCCGTAACACAGAACCTGACTCAAAAACAGAAACGTGTCAACAAGAAAAGATGTCCAACATCCAGTTGTCACAATACATTTCCATATAGGTGAACATTGGTATGCTTTAGTTTGTTTTGATTTATGTCATTGTTCTAAAAATAGGTATAGATTTCCACTCTGCCCAGTGAGTGTCTATCAGGTACAACCGAGGCTACCAAAATAAATCTTTAGTTTCGGTATCCTCGGGTACAACCCACAACCTTCAGTGTAACTGATTTGAGTTTGGCTCCGTGGGCGATTGACTTTTGTTGTTTTGGTAAGTGTTTTATGGCGCTCGCAACTGCATAAGGTCATATGAGCGCACTGGACACATTAAACATGTTTAGCTTGGTAGGCGGCCGACACCTACTCTTATTGATTTTGGACCAACAAGGGATTTGATTTAAGGTGCGCTATATGCACACATTACAGGACCTCCGAGATTTTTCGCGCTTATCCGAGAGGGTGCGGTGACGGAGCGGTTAGTGCTCTCGTCGTCGAAGCGGAAAGTCTACTTTCGAGCCTCGGTTGGGACCCGAAGTTTTTTCGTCAAAAATCAAATTATGGTATTCCACAAGCAGGAATCGAACTCATGGCTTCTGTGGACTACTGACTGAAGGACCTAAATATTACATTATAGGCACCATAACGTTTTTTAAAATTGATTTTGTAAAGTGTTTTACGGCGCTCGAAACTACACAAGGTCATATGAGGGCGCGGACACACACGTAATATTTTCAGTGGGTAGGAAATTTTGAATTTTGCCCGGGTGACGGCCAAAACCTACTCTTATCGATTTTAGACCAGCAAGTGATCTTTAACGTGTGCAACTTGCACACGGGCCCTCCGAGATTTTTCATCCTTATCCGAGAAGGCTAGGTGTAGATCTTTCCTACCAGAAGATCAGGGGTGTGGCAGAAAGACACCATAACGTTTAGCTCTATGGCAGTGAAACAAAACAAATAAACAAATAATAGCAAATTAACAACTTTTAAAAGAAAAAGTAGCTCCCCGTGCGACAAATATTTGCTGGATATATACAAAAATGTATTATATAAAACACGCTTTTAGTATTTCAG